AAAAAAAAAAAAAAAAACTAATGATGTAACGTATGGTGACTAACATAATAAAAAAAAAAAAGCTGAAATCAAGGCTGACAATGGAAAAAGCCAAGAAACAAATCAATATACACTGTGTAACCCATAAAAAGCTTAAAATAGCAGTACAAAGTACTGCTAGAAATAGGGTTTAAGATGGGGTTAAAAATGGGAGAACTGGCCAAAAATCTGCTCAAGAAGCAGTTACTTCCCTAGATCTTCTTTCCAGCTCTGAACATGGTAGTAAGCTGCCCCTTCCACATCCTAACAGAAGGCCAGAAGTTAATTCTCTAGGAAGTGTACAAAGAGTATCTCTGAATTAGGGGAAAAGTGGCACAGTTCTAAGTAGAGGTAACATATGTAAAATAGAGCAATTAAGTAAATGTATGGATTACTGGATACTAAACCTCCCCAATCTATTCCTACTGGACTTCCAAAATTATGACAGCCAGGTTTTCACTTTCCAAGCAGGGGAAAAAAGTCTTTCCTGAGAAATGAGACCAGCTTAAGAGTCAAAAAGCTAAAGACATTTAGAGTTCCACACAACATGGCCCACATACATCATCTCATAAGCCCAAACACCCAGAGAAAACTTGCAGTCAGCATTTTAATACTCTACTATAAAATGTGAACGGACAATAATGTGAACAGACAATTCAGGATTACCAGACATTAACAAAAGTCTTTAACAAAAGCTGAAGACAAACCCAGCAAATTAAAAAAAAAAAACAAACCAAAACCCAAACCAAAAATCTTAGAGAAGATCTGCAAGAGTACTTTTAAATAAAATTAATACATCAAAATTATTCTCAGTATAAAGAAAGTGAAGCAGGAAGTTTTTAAAAAGTAACAAAAAACAAAAACAGATTAAAATAAAAACATGATAGGAAGGAATAAAACGTTTAAAAATTCAGGGGGAATTGAAAGATAAAGAAATCTCTCAGAATATAGAACAAAAAGAGTTGAAAAACAGAAAATGCAAGAAAATTGGAGGACCATCCAAGGAGTCCCATATTTAATAAATAAGACTTCCAGAAGGAAAGAAAAAAAAGAAAGAAAACAAACCAAAAAGAAAAATGCAATCCACAGAGTGCTAAGAAATATTTCAAGAAAATTTCTCAGAACTGAAAGTTTCTAAATTAAAAAGACTCACAGAGTATCCAGCATAATAGATTAAAACATCTTCACCAACCTACATCATTGTGAAATTTTGGAAAACTGAGAGAAAAAAGATCTACAAGTTTACAGAAAGGCAAAAACAAATTTTCAATAAAATATAACTATCAAAATGACATCAGACTTTTAAAGATCAAATCTGAAAGTTAACACAATGAACAATGACTTTTTAAGTCTGAAGAAAACATTTTCAAACTAGAATCTATAGCCAGTCACACAATTAGGTATAAGGGTAAAAATAATTTTTTAATATATTGAAGACCTCAAAAACTTTACATCTTATACACCCCTTCTCCTGCAGCCTCTAGGGCATATATTCCATCAACCAAGAAAAAGGAAGTATGAAATCCAGGACAGAGAATCCAACAGAGAGGGGAAAAGAGAATTTTCAGGATAAAAATAAAAGAAGATCTTAAGATGTTAAGAGTAACTGATCTAGAACAAAGTAGGTCAAATCAAAAAGGTCAGGAGAGACTTCTGCAAGATGATACTGATAGAATTCCAATGTGTCTGAACACACTTGGAAGAGGAAGGTAAATGAAACGACAATTATTACCTTCAGGGAAGACAAAAAGCTGAGCAGGGAAGAAAAAGAAACGTAATGTTATATGACTCAGCTGTGACTACAATTAAAATATTAGTATAATATTAATGCTGAATATCAACCGTGGCAAATTATGCTATACCTTTACTGGGAGGCTGAGTGTATATGTGTGTAATGGAGCACAGGAGGAAAGAATAAAATCTTCATCTTAGACAGTGGGAAGTCATTAATAGAGTATAAAACAGAAAAATTAAGCAGCAGCAATATAAGGATATTACTAAGAGAAAAGGGGGTATATACCAAAAGTAATCAGCTAAAAGAGCTAAAAATAGTTTCTATGGAGAGGAGGTAACAGGAGTAGGGATAAAATATTGCAGGGGTACTAGTTTTTGCAACAAGCTTTGTAGAACTGCTTCATTTTCTAAACAATGTGCATGTATAATTTTAATAAAAACAAAAAACTATTTTTAAAAGGTAGAACACTTACCAATATACTTTTCTTGCTTTCTGAATAGAGGTAACTGTTTGGACTTCTTTTAAGGTTTGCTTTGTTTTCTTTTCTGCTGATTTAAATGCCTATTTATAAGAAGAGACTTTTTAAATAATTTGTTAAGAACACATTTTAGTAACACCAAGTAAGGGGTGCCTGGGTGGCTCAGCTGGTTAAGCATCCGACTCCTGATTTCAGCTCAGGTCATGATCTCAAGGTCATGAGATCAAGTCCTGCATTGGGCTCGGTGCTGAGCGTGGAGCCTGCTTGATTCTCTCTCCCTCTCTCTCTGCTCCTCTTCCTCCCACCCCCCACGTGCACAGGAGCATATGCATTCTTTCTTTCTCTCAAAAAAAAAAAAAATAATAATAATA